ACTAGATATTGCAAATAAGGGAAACCATGGGACCTATGTTTCTTTGGGCCTGGCTTACTTCACTTAATATAATTTTTTCCAAGTTTTTCCATTATGAGTACATTTCTTATCACGCATTGTTGTTTCCTCCTTTGTTTCCCTTCCCATCCCTTCCCATTCTCCCTCCCACCCCCACCCCCATGTATAGTCTTAAGTTTTAAGTGTAAAGAAGTTGGGATTGGTAAAAACAAATAAATTTCTGCAATTCAATTATTCTGCAATTCTATACATGGCAGCTTCTAAGTATAAAGCCAGTATAGAATATAATAGGACCAGAAAAATAAAAAATGATCTAAAACTAGTGACTTCCAATACAAGGTGATATATACAAGACAAGTTAGATTAAAATAGTCTTCCAATTACTGTTTTCCATTCCAACCACAATAAGTCTATGGATTATTTGTGTCCAAATGAAATACCTATGAATTTAGATAATCTAGGTTCTTTAGAAAAACAGAAGTGATTACATTTCAATGTGTAAAGAAAGACTTGGAAAAAATTATATTAAGTGAAGTAAGCCAAGGCCAAAGAAACATTGGTCCCATGGTTTCCCTTATTTGCAATATCTAGTATATGTCTGAGTCAAGCAGAAAAGGTCAGATAAGGTGATGTTAGGGAAATGAACCCTAAGATAGGTATTCAAATGTTTTTTTTCTTGCATGTGATTGTTTCTAACGCATTTATAAGATTATTTCTTTGTTGCTTTGTATGTCTCTCCCCCACAGTATAACCCCTGCTTTCACTATATTTGATGTCGGTATAATTTGTGGAGGGGAAGGGGAAAAACAAGTCGTTTAAATAAGGGTACAAGTTGTTATGTTGAAAACGAACTTTACAACTTTGGTGGGGGAGGCAGGGAGGACTGGGTGGGGGAGCTGGGGGAGGATGGGAAGGGGAAACAAAGGAGGAGGCTACAATGCTTGATAAGAATTGTACTCATTATCTTGCCCATGTGATTGTAACCCCTCTGTACAGTATTTTCACAATAAAAAATAAATAAATTTTTTTAAAAAGTAGAATCAGCCATTAAAAAAAGAAAATAAGGGTTAATTCTGATCCTTTATCTCTAGGACTTCACTATTCAATATTAACTTGCTGGAAATATCATTTATGCAAAACATAAGAACACTGACTTCTACAAAGATAGTAGGAAAAGGACCTTTTCCTCCTAATTTCTGGAGTTTTGTTTCAGATGACAAAGAAAGAAATGGTAACAATTATATCACTGTAAATAATTTTCAAATATATGATGCAATGTGATCTTTAAAACAATACTGAATATGATTTAAGTTAGCTAGCACATAGCAAGGACAATTTAGAATAAGAGAAGCATCACTGTAAGATCACTAAAAGTTAGATTGTAACCTTTAGAGATTAAAAAGTATATATGAAGCCAGGTGCCAGTAGCTTACACCTATAGTTCTAGTTACTGAGGAGACTGAGATCTGAGGATTGTGGTTCAAAGCCAGCCTGGACAGGAAAGTCTGTGAGACTTCTCTTCAATTAACCACCAAACACTGGAAAGCTGTGGTTCAAGTGGTAGAGTACTAGCCTTGAGTAAAAAAGAACAGGTAAAAGGCCCAGGCTCTGAGTTCAAGCACCAGAACCAGCAACCCCTCAAAAAAATACATATATATGATTGAAGTCCATTATATATCTCTGTATATAATCAAAAGTACATTATGTATGTATGAAAATAGTATAATGAATGTTAGAGCAATGTAAAAAAAGATAAGGTGAATTTGATCAAAGTACACTATGCATATAGATATATAAATCACAATAATACCCTTCGGACAATTAATTTATCCCACTAAAAATTTTAAAAATAATTAAGATAAGCACTAAATTCTTATTACTAAAACATATAGGACTTATTTGTAAGTAGCAAAGCAAAATACAATTACATTTACTTTTCCTGATATAATTTTTGCTTCTATAAATGCAATTATAGTCTTGTATCTAAACCAATATCAAGTGAGAATATAACTGAAAAAGAATAGGCTGAGGAAAGACAGAAGAAATAAGAAAAAAGCTGGGTCTTCACATATTACTATGAAAATTATAGAAATGGCTGGGCATAGAGACTCATGCCTATAATTTTAGCTATCTGGAAAGCAGAGAATGGAAGGATTACAGATCAAGTCTAGGCAAAAAAATTATTTGACATCCCTATCTCTATGAACAAGCCAGGTATAGTAATGGTTTGTAATCCCAGATATGTAGGAGGTCACTGGTAGGAGGTCTGTAGTCTAAGGCTGTCTAGGCAAAAATGTGAACCTTACTTGAAAGATAAAAGCAAAATGTCAAATAAGATGGGGTTGTGGCTCAAGTAGTAGAGTGCCTGTCTAGCAAGCATAAGGTCAAACCCCAAAAGTACCACACCTCCTTCAAAAGACAAAACAAAACATAGGTCAGGTGCCAAATACTATAATCTTAGCTACTCAGGAGGCTGAGATCTAAAGATCATAGTTCAAAGCCAGCCAGGGCAGGAAAGTTTGTGAGACTCTTATCTCCAATTAGCCACTAAAAAACTGGAAGTGATGCTGTGGCTCAAATTGGTTGAGTGCTAACCTTGAGTACAAAAGCTCAGAAACAGTACCCAAGCCCTGAATTCAACCCTATGACCAACAACAACAACAAATAAAAAACAAAAAGAAAATCACAGGTATAGTCATTTTTCCTGGTAATTGGTACTTCTTGTAGCTGTTTTGTCTTAAATGTTCACTTACTTTGGATTTGTCACTGTTTGATCCTTGATGAATGTAAAATAATTAGAAATGTTTCTATCATAAGGCAGCCATCCATGGGTTCCAATAACATAATTCATACTCACTGTTACCTGAAAAAGAATATTAGCCTTAAATGAAAGATTAAAAGACTAAAACAGTAAAGAATAACCAAATGTTCACAGGATGTTGGCATCTATCATTTGGGGATGCTATGAGGCAATGTAGTTTACATATCAAATTCATTAAATCAAAGAACAACTCAAATAAAAAAAGTTTTATCTTATTGTAAAGAAAAAAGGGTCTTCTTATGGTAACAAAATTTTCCTCACAATTTCTCAAAGTTTATTAGTATCAATTACTTGGTAGTCACAGGAAATTCAATGTCAATTCTTTCCATAGAAATATGACATAAACATTCAGAATTTAGGTCAGTAGAAATTTATGATGAATTGTGAAGGTCTCCATGAAGTCACTGTCATATTTTCTTTTGAAAATAAAAATTAATCTTATTTATTTATTGTGTTTTAAACTCTGGGTCTTGCGTGCTCTTGCTCTCTCTCTCACTTTCTCTCTCTCTCTCTCTTTCTCTCTCTCTCTCTCACACACACACATTTAGCTTCTTTGCTCAAGGCTGTTCTTCTATCACTTAAGCCACATAACCATTTCTAGCTTTTTGGTGGTTAACTGGAGATAGAGTCCAACAGATTTTTCTCCCATTCTGGCTTCCAACCCTGATCCTCAGCTCTCAGGATTACAGGTATGAGCCACCCAGGTTGGGTGAAAGAGCTTTTTACTGCCTTTATTATAAAAGTAACAGCTCAGGAGACTGGGAATGTGGCTCAGTGGTAGAGTGCTTAAGGAGTCTAGCATGCATGAAGCCCTGGGTTCAAATCCTCAGTACCACAGAAAAAGCCAGAAGTGGTGCTGTGGCTAGCCTTGACCACAGAGAGGCTCAGGAACAGTGCCCAGGCCCTGAGTTCAAGCCCCAGGACTGGCCAAAAAAAATTTAAAAAAAAATTTAAAAAAGTAACAGTTTAGTCACCCACTTCTTAATTCAGGTAACTTAAAATAATACAGGTATTAAAATTAAAAATCATAAGCATTCCAACATTGGAAATCTCCTATTATAATTTCTTCTATCTAGGAATTAAAATACTGGGAAGGTGGCTCAGTGGTAGAGCGCTTGCCTTGCATGCCTGAGGCCCTGGGTTCGATTCCTAGCACCACATAAGCAAAAAGAAAAAAAGCCGGAAGTGACGCTGTGGCTCAAGTGGTAGAGTGCTAGCCTTGAGCTGAAGAGCTGAGGGACAGTGCCCAGGCCCAGAGTTTAGGCCCCACAACTGGATCAAAAAAAAAAAAGAAAATAGATCTTTTTCTGGAATCTCTACTGTTTACTCTACCATATAACATATTACAGTTTTACGAGGACTTTGTGACAAAATTAGAATATAACTGGTTCATTTGCCATGGCTCTAGCTCTATGGTTTGAAGAAAGTTATTTCTCTTATGTTTCAATGTCTTATCTATATAAAGGAAATAATAGTAGTGCCTATCTCACAGGACTGCTAGTTGTATTAATATTATAAAGTCCATGAAAAATACTCAGTAAACTGCCTTGGATTTGTGCCTTAACAAATTCTGTGTTATTTCTAATAATCAATATTAGAGTGATAAAATAGTTTATGTTTTGGCGATACTGGAATTTGAATTCAGGGCCTCAAAATTCATAGGCTTTGTCATTTGAGCCACATCCTAATCTAATTTTGCTTGTAGTTATTTTTCAGATAGGGTTGTGTACATTTTTGCCTAGGTAGGCCTCACACCATGATCCTCCACTACCTATGGCCTCGGGCATATCTGCAGTCACAGGCTACAACTGCCCATGCCTGGCTTACTGATTGAGAAAATGAGATCTTGCCAACTTTTTTGTGTGAGTAGGCCTTGAATTGTGATCCTTCAGATCTCTGCTTCCATAGTAATTGGGGTTACGGGCATGAGCTACAGTACTCAGCCTTAAAATAAATTTTAATAGAAGATGTTAGCCCCTATTTCCCTATTTTCCTTGTATAAAATGTCTTGGTTATTTTCATATATTCCTTCCTCCATATATACTTTAGTACATTAACTACTTAAAAGTTCCATAAAAACAAATAATATTTTTGTACTTCATCAAGGTCTATAAACATTTCTGGTATTCTTTTTTTTGATCTGTTATAATGGATACAGACATGACAGTATGAAAAAGGAATAAATCAACTTACCAGTAACTCAGGGCTGCCTTGAGACATAAAAGAACGAGACTGATTTTTGGGGACAATGGCCTTTAATAGTGGAATACCATCACTAATGCCCTATAAAGTAAAAGATATTAAATGGTTGGTTCTTTAGGTACAAATTGCTTAAACATTCCTATTTAAACAATGAAATTGCTGTGGTATAGTATTTTTATTCTACCAAAACATACAAATCATTTAACTTAAAATGTAGGAAAGGAACTATAAACCATGTTTAGATGGCATACTAGAACCTTCTGAAAACCATCACCTATTTTTTTTTTGTCAGTTGTGGGGCTTGAACTCTGGGCCTGGGCACTGTTCTTCAGCTCTTCAGCTCAAGGCAAGCACTCTACTGCTTGAGCCACAGCACCACTTCCGGTTTTCTGGTGGTTAATTGGAGATAAGAGTCTCAAGGCTGGCTTTGAACCGTGATCCTTCAGATCTCAGCCTCCTCAGTAGCTAGGATTATAGGCGTTAGTGTTAGAGAGAAAGAGAGAGAGAGAGAGACAGAGAGACAGAGAGACAGAGAGAGTGTGTGTGTGTGTGTATGTGTGTGTGTGTGTGTTAGGGCTTGAGCAAGTTAATAGTTATTCTTTATAGGAAAAATCTTTGAGGCTTAACATTTAAAAATAAATCTATTTCATTAATTGAGGTACTTTCCTGAATGTTACAATAATACTAGGAGAAAATAAAAAGTTTTCAAGAAACATCAACCATCATCTTATTATAATGTGAAATAGAAACATAATTTGAACTTAGTTCCTTGATATGACAATATTTCAGAAAGAGAACCTAACATTTATTAGAAAATTATTATCATTGTATATGTATGCTGTACCAAGTATTATTTTATGAGCTTTATAATGCAAAACAATAATTATATAGTTATAATTACATAATAATTTAAAAATTAATTCTACTTTATAAATTCATAGTAAGTTAGTGTTTATATTTGATCTTTACATTGATATTTAAAAAATGGTTTGCAGTCATGCCAGTAACTAATTCTTTTTTATTTATTGTAAAGATACTATACAGAGGGTTACAGTTACATGAGTGAGGTAATGACTACACTTCCTCTTGAACATTGTTACCCCTCCATTGTTTTCCCCCTACCATCCCCTCCCTCCCTCCCTTCCCCGAGGTTCTTTTTTTATTTTTTGATTGTGATTAAGTGATTACATAATTTCCGGAAATTCACAGTATTGTGGAATAATGATGCTCATTTAAAGTCACAAGTTCATTCTAACTTTTCTTGAGCAAATTGTCTATCACAGTCTGTAATATATAACGGTGCTCACATGTTATATACCATATATGTGATCAGCAGCATGGGGATATTTAGTAGTGGTTCAACCAGATGAGCGGGAGTTCTTTGTTTCTTAAGTCCTGTTAGTTTTGTCATATCACCTAACATTTTGGATTTAGCATTCACTTACCAGGGAGACCATGTACCGTTTGTCTCTTCGTTCTTGGTTTACCTCGCTCAACATGATTCCTTCTAGCTCCATCCATTTCCTTGCAAATGCCATTATTTTGTCATTTCTAATGGCTGCATAATATTCCATTGTGTATAGATACCACAATTTTTGGATCCATTCATCTGTGGTGGGCATCTAGGTTGTTTCCATATCCTAGCTATTGCGAACAGTGCTGCAATAAACATGGAGGTGCACGTGTCCTTGTATATTGGTTCCTGTTGTTCAGGGTAGATGCCTAGAAGTGGTATGACTGGGTCGTAAGGGAGGTCAATCTTTAGCTTTCTAAGGACCCTCCAGACTGCTTTCCAAAGTGGTTGTATAAGTGTACATTCCCACCAGCAGTGTAATAGGGTTCCTCTTTCTCCACATCCCCTCCAGCATTTGTTGTTGGCTGATTTGTGGATGTGGGACATTCTGACTGGGGTAAGGTGGTATCTCAGGGTTGTCTTTATTTGCATTTCCTTCACCACCAGGGATGATGAACATTTCCTCATGTGTTTCTTTGCCATTTTTATTTCTTCATTTGAGAAGTCCCTCTTTAGTTCCCTTGCCCATTTAGTAATTGGTTTGTTAGGTTTGGGAGGGATTAGTTTCTTGAGTTCCCTGTATATACAGGATGTTAACCCCTTGTCTGATATATTGCTGGTAAATATTTTTTCCCAATTAGTTGGTTGTCTTTCTAGCTTGGTTGCGATAGCTTTAGCTGTGCAGAAGCTTTTTATTTTAAGGTAGTCCCATTTGTCGAGTCTCTCTCCAACTTGTTGTGACCCTGGGACTCTGTTCAGGAAGTTCCTTCCTGTGCCTATTAGTTCAAGTGTCTCTCCTACTCTGTCCTGCAGTAGTTTCAGAGATTCAGGTTTAATGTTAAGGTCTTTAATCCATTTTGAGTTGATGTTGGTGCATGGTGATAGGCTGGGGTCCACTTTTAGTCTTCTGCATGTGGCTGCCCAGTTTTCCCAGCACCAGCGGTTGAAGAGGCTGTGTTTCTTCCATTGTATGTCTTTGGCTCCTTTGTCGAATATCAGCTGGCTGTAGGCCTGTGGATTTTTTTCTGGATCTTCTATTCTGTTCCATTGGTCTTTGGGTCTGTTTTTGTGCCAGTACCATGCTGTCTTTGTTATTATAGCTCTGTAGTAGAGTTTGAAGTTCGGCATGGATAGCCCTCCCATATTGTCTTTATCCCCTAGAATTGTTTTGGCTATTCTAGGTCTTTTGTTTTTCCATATGAATTTTTGGACTGTTTTCTATATTTCAGTGATGTACGTCATTGGTATTTTAATAGGAATTGCGTTGAATTTGTATATTAGTTTTGGAAGTATTACCATCTTTACTATATTAAGTCGGCCTATCCAGGAGCATGGGAGGTCTTTCCATTTCCTAGTGTCTTCTGCAATTTCTTTCTTTAGCTTTTTATAGTTCTCATTAAATAGTTCTTTTACATCTTTGGTTAGGTTAATTCCTAAATATTTTATTTTTTGGGAGGTTATTGTGAATGGTGTTGCTCCCTTTATTTTCCTCTCTTCCTGTACATTATCAGTGTATAGGAAGGCAACTGATTTTTGTGGGTTTATTTTGTATCCTGCTATTTTGCCGAAGTGATTTATGATTTCTAAGAGTTTGGGGATGGAGTTTTTGGGATCGTGGAGGTATAGTATCATGTCGTCTGCAAACAGGCATAGTTTAACTTCTTCTTTCCCTATGCGGATCCTTTTAACAGTAACTAATTCTTATAGCCCTACCTACTCAGGAGGCTGAGATCTGAGAATTTCAGTTTGAAGCCAATCTGAGTAGAAAAATGCATGATATTCTTACTTCTAATAAACCAGCAACTGGAGACATAGCTAAAGTGGTAAAGCACCAACTGTGCGCTTAAGTTAAGCAAGAGCTTAACTGAGCTAAAGTCCCAGTACCAGGGGAAAAAGAATAACTTTCAGTTAAGCAAGGCTAAATAGTATCTTAAAAAATCCATTTATTAGGCCCTTGCTTTTACTACTACCTCCATATTCTTCAGCATAGCACTAGGAAGTGACAATTTACAGAGGGCCCTCCTTTTCACGTACATATTGAAAAATGCTTCTTAGATGATAAAATGGGAATTACAAGCTACTAGCACCCAAAGGCATCTACTGTGTTCTCTGTCCTACTGTGTTCTCTGTCCTGCTCCAGATACTGCTCTGGGGGAAAGCTACCAGAAGACTTGACACATACAGAAAAGAATAAATGTGTCACTACACCTGCAGAAAACTCAGAATAAACTATTATATAAAAATGCTGTCACAAATGATAGACATCATGGAAATAGCTTTATCAACATCATACAATAAACATAATATTGCATATTCATCAAATTATGGGTAAAATAGGATTTTGTGGGGGGGTTTTGTGTGTGTATGCTGGTACTAGGGCTTTAACCTAGGGCCTGAACTCTCATTTTGCTTTTTCCAATCAAGCCTGCTGCCCTACCACTTGAGCCATACCTCCATTTCTAGCTTTTGGGTCATTAATTGGGGATAAAAGTCTCAAGGACTTTTCTGCCTGGGTTAGTTTTGAACCATAATCCTTAGATCTCAGCCTCCTGAGATCTAGGATTACAGATGTTATCTATTTACTTGTACATAACTCAAATAGGATTTTATGGCATAAATTTAGTCCCCTGGAACAGATGACACTGTATAAAAGGAAATGTACTTATTACCTGATATATGAAAAGGTAACCCCTCTGTATATCACCTCTATAATAACAACAAAGTAAATTAATAAAAATTAAAATATTGTCCCTAGGATGTCTTTTAGGTGGTCGGTAAGCTAAGAATAAACTTAAAATATTTTTAGACAGTTAACTTCAAGTGGTTAACAACTTTGCTAACATCACAATTAAATGTATTTCCTAATCTTTTTTTTTTTGTCAGTATTTGGGCTTGAACTCAGGGTTTAGTTGCTGTCTCAGCTTTTTTGATCAAGGCTAGTGCTCTACCACTTTAAGCCACAGCTTCTCAACCTATTTACTGGTGGTTTAATTTGAGTCTCACAGACTTTTCCTCTGCCCAGGCTGGCTTTGAACCATGATCCTCAAATCTCAGCCTCCTGAGTAGCTAGGATTACAAAAGCATGAGCCACCAGCACCCAGCTTCTAATGCTTTTATGTAAAAAAAAACTGAATGTAGCAAATTTTCAATCCCAACACAGAAATATATGAAATAAAAACAGTCTAATATATGACAAACAATGTATATTCTGGTTCACTGAAAGATTTGCTTTGCTGTATAATTTTAACATAAGAATAAACTTTCAGCTGGGTGCTGGTGGCTTACATCCTAGCTACTCAGGAGGCTGAGATCTGAGGATCATGGTTCAAAGCCAGTCCGGGCAAGGAAAGTCCGTTAGTCTCTTACCTCCAATAAACTAGAAAACAGGAAGTAGTGCTGTGGCTCAAGCAGTAGAGGGCTCACCTTGAGCTGAAGAGCTAAGGGATAGCGCCCAAGCCTAGAGCTCAAGCCCTATGACCGACCAAAAAAATAAATAAATAAAAATAAAATAATAAAAAAAATAAAGGGGCTGGGGTTTTAGCCCAGCGGAAGGGCGCCTGCCTGGCGCGCGCAAGGCCCTGGGTTCAGTCCTCAGCCCTGGGGAAAAAAAAGACATATAAAGCTACAAAAGACCAAAAAAAAAAAAAAACACAACACAAGGCAATGGAGCACACACAACCAAAAAATAAATAAATAAATAAAAATAAAGTTTCATTTAGCAATCAGTGCTCTATTGAATCTGGCAATAAAATTCAAGCTAAGTTGTAATTTTAATATGCTTGCTTTTTAGTGAATGTGCAGATAATTGGCAAATTTTCCATTCAATGAACTTTCTTATATAGGTGGGAATAGAGAATTAAATGTGACAAACAACATAGAAAATCTGTTCCTGAATCACATTAGTATGTATTTAAACTTGTACTATATAATAATTTTCCTAGTGGAGCTCACTTCTTCAGAGTATTTCTTTTATTATCACCTTCTTATGGATATAACTGATGTTTTTGGTTTGTCTATTTGAAGAAATGCTCTGACATCTAGATGAGTATAAAGCTCTAGATACCTGATGAAGTTGTAAATGAATTAATTCAGATCTGTACTTTATTAAAATCTGTATCAAAATGATCACGAAATGTTTTCAGGCCATAGCAGGATATTGTTTAAGTGTTAATATAGTTTACCAAACTCTGTATATTTCTTGAAGACACACCATTTAGCCTCTGCAGATACCCAAACTTTATAAACCTGGCAAGGGATGTGTCACTCAGATGAAGAAAAGAACACTTTGGCATGACATGAACTATAAGTGTCAAGTTATCTCTCAGAGAGAGTGAATCTCTCCTTTTCTATTCAATGTTCATCACATCAGGGTATTCTCATACTTGGGCAGTTTTCTTCGTAGTCCATGGTATAATCACTGCATTTAAAGCCTTAAAAGGACACCAATAAATGATTCAAAAGAAATAATGAGTATAATTAACCAACCAAAAATATTAAATAGACTGAAGTAGTGTTCAAATTGTTCATGCAAACTTCAGGGATCCAATTCTGTGTCTGGTGAATGCAAGTACCACCATAGCTATACCATACTTGCTACAAGCCATGTGGTACTACCTTGACTTAAGGTTTTATCTTCACTGTTTTTATTTTGTCTCTTAGAAGAGTTAATATTATATCATAACAAAAATCATAAGTACAAACTAGGTGCCAGTGGCGGACACTTGTAATTCTATCTATTCAGGGGGCTGAGATCCAAGGATCATGGTTTGGAGCCAGCCTAGACAGTAAAATCTGTAAAACTCTTATCTCCAATTAATTACTGAAAAGTCCAAAGTGGAGCTGTGGCTCAAGTGGTAAAGCACTAGCCTTGAATAGTAAAGCTCAGGGACAGCATCTAGACTCTGAATTCAGGCCGTAGGACCAGTATAACTACACATTAAAAAACCCTAAGTAAATATGCATTTAAAATTACTCTGAGCTATTCATAATATTTTACTATGTATATTTAAACATTTAAACCTTTAAAATTGAAAGATGCTCTTTCAATTACAGTATTACTTACTCATTTTACTTGATCATCCTTCTAACACTATTAACAATCTAATTTGTTGAGACATGTTTTATAGGTGAACAGAAATTATAATTAAGAACTGAAGTATTAACTCCCTTTATATATTATCTCAATTGTCACATAAAGTATTTTGGGTCAAATTACTCATTCTTCATCAGGAAAACATGCAGTAGAAGAAAGACAAAAGGAACAGTTCAGACTACCACTCAGTGGCAAACAAAACCTTTCAGTAGAAATAATTTTAAAACTTCAAATAGATCATTATAATTTGTCATTTTCATACTATACTTCCCATCCATTAAAGAATCAAATAAGCTTTTCAGGTGCATTGAATTTAGGAGAAAAATTCTTTGCTATTATCAAGTTGGATATTACCTCTATAAAAAATGACTTGAGTTCAGGGAGATGTTGAAATAGGTTGAGAGTTGATGTGTCTGTCTTGGTCTGCTTCTGTATTGCTTCTTCTGCTGATAATCTAGGAGGATGTGGTTCCTTCACAGTAAAATAAAAATTCCGTAATTACAATAAAAATGTTTTATACTTCATTCCTTCACATATACTGTAAACAACTCTAGTCCTTGGCTTAGCCTATTTCTCTGCAGCAAATTACTTCTTTTCTATAAAAAAAGATTCTACTTTTAGAATTTGAAACCTAGAATTAATCATCTTTATTAGCACTATTTTTACCACTTTCCTTATTAATTTAGTACTCATTTAGTTGTTTATGATCTGTCTTTCCAATCTAGGATATATGCATGTTAAAGTCAGACATAAGTCTTATTTTTTAATTACTGTATATCTAGAATATCTCAAACATGGTAGGTAGCTTATTCCTAGCTATTTTCTTTTGGAGGCTATTGTAAATGGAATTTTTTCTGATTTTTTGTTATAAAAATGATGTACAGAGGGGTTATAGTTACATAAGTCAGGTAATGAGTACATTTCTTTTTGAACAGTGTCATCCTTCCCTCATTTTTGTCTGTAGTTTTTCCCCTCTCAACTCTCCTTCTTCTCCCCAAATTGTATAGCTCATTTACAACACAGGGTCCAGTGAGTGTTACTGAAGTGGTCCACCCTTTTGTCCCATCATTTCTGTGCTTCCCCTCCCCTCCCCAAACCAAATAAACATATAAAAGACAAAGGCCTGATTTCTTTCTCAGCTTCTTCATTGTTGGTATATAGAAAAGCTAATGATTTCTGCATGTGAATTTTATAACTTGCTACTTGGCCAAGTGTTCACCAGATCTAGGAGTTTTTTTGTGGAGCCTTTGGGCTTTTTTAAGCCTTTGAAATATTTTAAGGATACAATTATATCATGTATAAATAAGGATAATTTTATTTGTTCCCTTACTATTTATGTCTCTCACTTTTTTCTCTTCCTTTACTGTTTATGTTTCTTTCACTATTTTTCTCTTGCCTTATTACTCTGGCTATAAACTCCAGCACTATATTGAATAGACACCCTTGACTATATCACTCTTTGCTTTTACAATTTCTGTTTTGAGTATTCTGCTCTGATTCTGATGGGTTTGCTATTAGATGTGATTTTTCAGTTCTCTCACAGCTTTTAATACTCTTGCTTGGGTCTATAAACTATGACTAGGGTATTTATTTTTTGCTATTTCCAAGTTAGTATTCTAGATTTCCTGCAGTGGGATGACCTTCTTTTTCAGGATTAGGGAGGTTGCTATTATTAAATAAAATAACTACTTGTAACTCTCTTCCTTCTGCTATATCTATTATTTGTAGGTTTGGTGTTTTGATGCTTCTCAGAAGTCTTTCAGTTTTCATCTGCACTTCCTTAGTTAAAAAAATTTTTTTTTTAACTGTAGGGTTAGCTTCTGAAGGAGACCAATGTATTTCTATGTTGGGGTTTACTAAGTTTTTGGTTTAAGATTTCAATCTTCTGGGTGCTTTCAGTTGTTGTCTTTACAATGTTTAAATAAGACTGACTAGTGGCTGGGTTGTGGTATATGTATATTTGCAAGCACAGGGCTCATGATGCCATGGGAAAAGGAAGCATAGCTGCAGAAACAGTCCCGAGGTCACGACAATCCCTAATAAATGCCACTCACTACTATTGCACTAGTATCTTTAGAGAAATATAGGAGCAAGATGATTATTTGCCCTTCCTTAGTAATGCTGCTGGTGGGAAGGAGATTCAGGGACTGATGTAAATATATAAGGTACCTAATGTCCTAAGGCATGAAGAAGTAGTGGCAAAGGTTAATAGATAGATTAATGAGAAAGTTAAATGGTATAGGTAGAAAATAACTAATATTAGATCAAGGAAGAAAGGAGAAAGAGAAAACAAACAAGATGACCTATGAATTTAATAACCTAGTAAAAGTATAGGTAAAAAAGAAGGATTACAAAAGAAAGAGATCAAAATATGAGTGAAACCATGGGACCTATGTTTCTTTGGGCCTGGCTTACTTCACTTAATATAATTTTTTCCAAGCCTTTCCATTTCCTAACAAATGGGGCAATGTCATTCTTTCTGATGGAGGCATAGAATTCCATTGTGTATATATACCACATTTTCTTGATCCATTCATCTACCGAGGGGCATCTGGGTTGGTTCCATATCTTAGCTATAGTAAATAGTGCTGCAATAAACATAGTCATGTTATAGCTGTAGTGTGGTCTTGTTTGTAAACATTAGGGTAAATGCCCAAAAGTGGGATTGCTGGGTCATAGGGGAGCTCTATGTGGAGTCTTTTGAGGAACCTGCATACTGCTTTCCAAAGTGGTTGAACAAGTTTACATTCCCACCAACAATGCAGTAAGGTTCCCTTCTGTCCACATCCCCTCCAGAATCTATTGTTTTTAGAGTTCTTGATTCTAGCCATTTTAACTGGAGTGAGGTAGTATCTCAATGTAGTTTTGATTTGCATTTCTTTTATGGCTAGGGAGGTTGAGCATTTCTTCATGTGTCTATTGGCCATCCTTCTTTCCTCTTCAGAGAAGTTTCTCTTTATGTCTTTAGCCCACTTATTTATTGGGCAGTTGTTTCTCTGAGGATTATTTGCAATATCTAGTATATGTCTGAGTCAAGCAGAAAAGGTCAGATAAGGTGATGTTAGGGAAATGAACCCTAAGATAGGTATTCAAATGTTTTTTTCTTTCATGTGATTGCTTCTAACATATTTATAAGATGATTTCTTTGTTGCTTTGTATGTCCCTCCCCCACAGTATAACCCCTGCTTTCACTGTATTTGATGTCGGTATAATTTGTGGAGGGGAAGGGGAAAAACAAATTGTTTAAATAGGGATACAGGTGGATCCATTGCAACAATGAGGTGTACAAGTCGTTATGTCGAAAACGAACTTTACAACTTTGGTGGTGGTGGGGAAGTGGGGAGGATTGGGTGGGGGGTGGGGGGAGGATGGGAAGGTATGGGAAGGGGAAACAGAGGAGGCTACAATGCTTGATAAGAAATGTACTCATTATCTTGCCCATGTAATTGTAAACCCTCTGTACAGTATTTTCACAATAAAAAAAATATGAGTGAAAAGCTCATATTCTGATTGCAGATGGAAGGAAATTATAAATGGTGATGGGTGACAGAAGAAAGAAGGAGATGATATACTTTAAGATTAAATCAAGTTTTTTAAAGAAATGGGAGGAAGATCAAAACTAAAAAGAAAATGGTTAGAATGAACTTGTGACTTTAAATGAGCATTATTATTCCACAATACTGTGAAATTTGGGAAATTATGTAATCACTTAATCACAGTTAAAAAAAAAGAACCTCGGGGAAGGTAGGGAGGGAAGGGATGGTAGGGGGGAAAACAATGGAGGGAGTAACAATGCTCAATAGGAAGTGTACTCATTACCTTACTCAAGTAACTGTAACCCTCTGTATAGTATCTTTACAATTAAAAATTAAAAAAAAGAAAAAAAAGAAAAGAAAACAGGCACTGGTGGCAAACACCTGTAATCTTAGCTACTCAGGAAGTTGAGATCTGAGGATCACAGTTCAAAGTCAGTCTGGGCAGAAAAATCCGTGAGACTCTTATCTCCAATAAACTACTCAGAAAAATCTGGAAGTGGCGCTGTGGCTCAAGTGCTAGAGTGCTCACCTTGAGCACAAAGAGGCTCAAGGACAGTACCCAGGTCCTGAGTTCAAGCACCAGGACTGGCAAAAAAAAAAAAAAAGAGCTGGGCACCAGTGGCTCATGCCTATAATCCTAACTACTTAGGAGGCTGAAATCTGAGGATCGTGGTTCAAAGCCAGTTGGGGAAGAAAAGTCAGTGAGTATTTTATCTCCAATTTAACTAACAAAAAAGCCAGAAATGGAACTGTGGCTTAAGAGGTAGAGCCCTAGCCTTGAACAGAAAAGGTAAAGGACAGTGCATAGGCCCTAAGTTCAAGCCCCAGGATTGGTACAAAAAAATACAAATAAAATAAAAAATAGCAAACAGGTTTAAAAAATCAGCATTTTCAACTGCTCTCCAATGCAGCTGTTTTGTTTAACCCTCTCATAGCCTAAGTCCAATAGATGGCAGCCTAGTTGGAGACTTGACTCTAGGATAATGGCTAGCTTAGGGCCTGCTTCCCAGCATGGTGGGGTGGGGATTGAAGAATATCTCCAATGAAATTTTCTGGACTATGGACATTAACTACCTCATCCTACTCACTTCCTTTTTACATTGTGGAATCTTCTGTCTCCCTAGTCCTTGACAACTATTACTGTTCTTTGCATCAGCAAGGGGGTTTTCCTGGATCAGAGGCTGACATTTCTGGGCTCTGTCCAGACTTGATTTCCTAGATGGAACTGTTGCTGGTGGTGGTTCTCAGTCAAACCTCAGAGCTCATGTTTGTCTTGAAGAGGTTTCTATGGTGCAGTTGGTGTGGGTGGGCTGGCTGTGTACAGTGTCTCTACCACCGTGAAAGGCTTCTGTGCCTTGGCATTAGCACGAGGGTATGCTGATCCACTTTCAGCCATAGCTGTGGGAGAAAGCTTATGAGATATTGATGGGCTCTAAAGTACTTTGTCACCAGCATTAACTTCTTTAGCAGTTCTATAAAGCAGACTGACAAAGGAAAATGCCAGATGATATTACTCAGCCTCCATCTTGCCAGGAATTCCCCATGGATAGTTATATATTCATTTTCTTTGTATATAGAGACATGTAGAAGACTCTGGAATTACAGTATTTCCAAGCTTCTGAGGTATCCTGGTATGCTCCCTAGGAATTCCCAACAGTGGCTAGAATCCTGAGAAGAGACAGTGGTTGAGAAAGTTGCTCTTTATTCCTAGGTATTTTATTTATTTTAGCTTGACGCTACTCTGAATGGGACTGTTTGCCTGATTTCCTTCTCAGCATGTTCTTCATTGGTATATAGAAAAGTTACTGGTTTTAGTCTACTTGAAGTTTTAAATGTGTCAGATACTTGAATTTTCTAAGATCTGGACAATTTTATGCTATAATTTCATTTAGTTTTCTATGAATTTACTCTGTTTATTGACTGCACCTTTTACATCCTTACTTGCAATGTTGGGTATCTTAGTTATCTCTCAGAGGTCTTGAATGTTGTGATCATAATTGCCTTTTTTTTTTTGGTCATGGGCTTGAACTCTGGGCCTAGGCACTGTCCCCCTCAGCTCTTTGGCTCAAGGGCTAGCGCTCTACCACTTGAGCCACAGTGCCACTTCCAGTTTTTCTGGTGGTTAATTGGAGAGAAGAGTCTCACGGATTTTCCTTCCTGGGCTGGCTTTGCACCGTGATACTCAGATCTCGGCCTCCTGAGTAGCTAGGATTATAGGAATGAGCCACTGGTGATGGCTAATGAAGCAATCAGTTACTTTAGTGGGGTAATGGGGCTTGAACTCTGGGCCTGGGCACTGTCTCTCAGCTCTTCAGCTCAAGGTGAGTGCTCTACCACTTGAGCCATAGCTCCACTTTATAACTGCTTTAAAAAAATAAAAATTACTGCCATCTAAATGTATTTTTTCCTCAATTTTATCTTCAATTACTGATATTCCTTCTTCTACCTGGTTTAGTCTATTGAAAGTTTTCTATTTAGTTTCCAGTTTTTTTATGTTTAACTGAGGATAAGAGTCTCATGAACTTTCCTGCTCAGGCTGGCTTTGAACCATGATCCTCAGATCTCAGCCTCTTAAGTAGGTAGGATTATAGGCATGAGCCACTGGCATCCAGCTGGATTTCTTAAGTTGTTATATTTATCACCCAGGCATTGAATTGACATCTTTACTTCATTGATTTGTTATTTGAACCCTCTTTGATGTTATTGATCATTTTTAAAAAGACAAATTCTTGGGCTGGGAAGGTGGCTCAGTGGTAGAGTGCTTGCCTTGTATGCATGAGGCCCTGGGTTTGATTCCTCAGCACCACATAAGCAAAAAGAAAAAAGCTGGAAGTGGCGCTGTGGCTCTAGTGGTAGAGCACTAGCCT